ATGTTTTCAAATCTGTAATAATTTTGTTGCTCTCCTCTGGACTCAGATTTGGACAAATCTTCCTTGAATTGTTGTGCCAAAAACTGGACACAGTACTCCAGGTGAGGTTTCACAAGTACTGAACAAAGTAGAAGAATCACTCCACTTGATTTGCAGATGACACTCTTGTTAACAAACCCCCTAAATGCTATTGGATTATTTTGCAGTTTATAACTCCCACATTCCCTTTTGCAGTAATGCAGTCTGGCTAGTCATTCCCATCTGTGGTGATGTATGTGATTGTTCCATCTTAAATGTACAACTTTACATAGGGCAGTCATTCCTTTCTTGCACCTGATGTTCCTTTTATTCATAAGTCCAAGAGATCTAGTTTGAATCTGATGTCTTTCAGATTCCAGGTCCAGGAAGAAGAGGAGTGATAAATGCATATTTTATGTCCAAATCAGAATATACACATATTATGTCCCCATTTGTTAACAGTCAGAGGGGGAAGGAATCATCCAACCCCCAGAATAACTAAATGCATGGAAAGAGTTTGGGTCATAGTGTCATAGTGAATTGGACACTGTTCAAGTTCTATGTCACTGCTACAGGCAATGAAATGGAATTTAGGGAGGATTATGGCTGCTCCACCCTTTAATGTCTTCAAGCAGGAACCTGAGGAGGTACAGGACATACAGGTAGCCCCTACACAGATATTAAAAAATTCCAAGTTCACAAGCCCAAGATGCATGCTCACCTACAGTGAGAATCAGATGGATGTACACTTACAAAACAATTTATATTAATATGGCAAGTAATGTCTTAGTATACCTATACTTTTCAACAGCTTTCATATCATCTTCATCAAACTCATCTTCAGCTTCCTTTAATTCATTTAGAGTCATGCTTTCATATGGTTTCACTTAAAAAAAAATAACAAAAATTAGTGCTTTTGTTCACTGCAGAAACAGTATTTCAGTATTTTTTCTGTGCAAAATCTTTATATGAAGACACTGAGAGCCATCTCAATGTGAAAAATATTACATCTCATCTAAGAATTTGTTGTTCAACATCAGTGTAACCTGGTGCAAGAAAAAGATGGCAAGTTAAGTATGAGTGGGTGCACCTACATGTGTAATTAGAACGTAGGAATAAACTCCAGCACAGGTCACGCTGGAGTTTATTGGTCTGGGGCACAATATTTACATATGTGCCCAAGACCGCAGCTTGCTAAGCTGGGGTGAAGCAGCCCTGGCTGACAGGGGACCCAGGGTGTCAGCCTGCCAGCCTGGAGCTCTTCCACCCTGGCACAACATGCTGCAGGGGAGCTGGCTGGGCACAAAGGTGCTTCAGTGTGGGACTAGCCACCAGGCAGCCCCCACACTATAGCACCCTCCTGCCCCAGCCAGCCCTGGTCACTGTCTACACACGCATTACGGCGTACTAGGTAACTCTGCCGCAGGATAATACTTGTCCTGGACAGTACTATCCTACAACAGAATTAATTAATTTACTGCACCTCATAAGGATGCTTGTGTAAATGGTGATACCTTACTGTGGAACTAGTCAACTCTGCAGTAAAGTATACATATAGATGCATCCAGTAAATATAAAAAGTACTACTTTGGTCATTTTCATGTGCTCCATTTGTCGCAGGCAATGGCTACATGGTAAATTTACTTCATAAGGCACCAAAGCCTCAAACAGACCATGCAGAGCTAAATGGTTGATTTTTCATGTTATATACCAGGGGTTGTCAACCGGGGTAGGCACACCTCTGGAGGTACTTGGGAAGCTCCCAGGGGGTACGTGGCAGTGGCGCGGAGAAGCAGAGGGCACTTCCAGTTTTGCTGCTGTGCACAGGGGAGCACCCGCCGCTCACTGATTGGACTTCCTGCCTCTCGACCGGCTGCAGGGAGTACACCAACCAAAAAAGGTTGAAAACCCCTGTTATATACCATGGTGCATGTTACTGACTCTACTGCAAAATTTACGGCGCTATTATTCTCTCACTTTCTTCAATGCAATATTCTTTTTTAATTCGCTACTTTAAAAATAGCTCTCTGAAAAATAACACAAGACCAAATAAAATAACCAAAATACTCCTTTTTAAAAATGAATTTCTGACACGAGATGATCTTTATTACTTTATGAATGGCGTTAAGGGTCAAACGGTACTTGCCTTCTGCTTCTTTCTGTAAGTGCAAAACCATTTCTTCGGTTTCATCTTTCGGCTCAACTTTTGGAGGCAGAATCCCAAAATCTCTTAATATATCATTCCATTCTGTATCTTCGTTGGGATCCTGTTTGGAAATCATGAAACAAAGCAAAAAAACACTTATTTCTATATTGTTTCCGAACAAGAATGGTTTCTTTATTTTTCCACTCTGGTATACAATACCAACCAGGACACAACATGGCATGATGTAACAGAGTGGCTCTTAACTGGACGCTGAGACCCACACGGCGCCTGGGCACGGGTGAGCGCCACCAGATGAACCTGCCCTGGGGCCCCCGTGTGAGGGCAGGCCGGGAAGCAGATGCAGCACGAGCAGAGGCTGCAGCCAGGGCATGAACCCGAGATCCCGGGCACACGTGGGGCAGGTATGACGGACCTGCCCCGTGCACGTCATTCACCCGCACACGTCTGCGTACCTACACGCGTATGCGGAGGGCTGGCCGCTCGCACGCGCCCGTAGTCACGGGCATGCACCCGGGAATCTCCAGCTGGACCTCGGCACTTGCCCACCCGGACTCCTCTCCGCCCTCCCCGCACCCCAGCCCCAGGCCTAGCGGCGCCCCGGCCTCGGCCCCGGCCCCGGCCCCGCTCGCCTGCATGGCGCCGCTCCTGCTCGCAGCAACCGTTGGGCCGCCCCTGCCCGGGATCCTAACGGCCGCTGGCCCGGTCGACTGCCCGGTCGCCGGGCGGATCAATTTGTTAATAAAGGCGGTGGCAGCGTCGTTCGCTCCATAGGACCCCCCTGCGTCAAGGAATGGTTTGCCCCCAAGAGGGCGCCCCTGGCGGCAGCACACGGGGGCGCAGCCATCTCCGCCCCAACACCTAGGGCGGGGCACTGGCAAGAGCTGCGGCCCTCAGTCACGGGGCTGCTCCAGTAACGTCTTCCTACACCGAAACTGTTCAACAGCTTTTATATCCCCTTCCTCAAACCCATCTTCAGCTTCCTTGAATTTTTTTAGAGTCCTTCCTTCATATGGTTTCACTTAAAAGAACAAACCAAAAAAACGAGTCCTCTTGTTCAGTGCAGAAGCAAAATATTTCAATATATTTTTTTCTGTTCAAAATCTTTGTACGTAGACACTGAGAGCTGTCTCAATGTGGAAAATGTTAACGTAAGAATGTGTTCAACATTGGTGTAACCTGGTGTGAGAGAAAGATGGGGCGGGGGAAAGGTGCTGAGAGGGGCTCAGCAGGGCAGGTTGCTGTTGGCGACCCACTGCCTACTGCTGGCTGCAATGGCCCGGTGAGAGCTGCCAGCGCAGCTGTTGTGTCGTGTCCTCAGCAAAAGGGGGCTGGGAACCAGCCCTTGCAGGGAGATGTGGGCCTAGCAGATTTATTTGAGCATTTGAATAACGCCCCTGGTAGTGTGAGGCTCACCCCTGCCACACCTTACGTGCATGACACAATTAATTGGTGCAAAAGTAACAGTCACTCCATAAAAATGTCCATCCAGCTATAAAAAGAGCCAAACAGCTACCAAGACAGTGCTTGGAAAATACATAACAGCTTTATATGTGGTTTCTATCCAGCTAATTTGAATGGGTGGCAGGGACCTAAGAGTGATATGGTAGCCGCGATGGCCCAGGAATTATGCGAGAGGCAAAGACGTCTTAGGCCAGTGATACTCAACCATTTTCCCTTGGCAGGCCATATAGGCAGTGCCCAGTTCGTCCACGAGTTAGATGTAGGGTGGCCATCGAGGTACTTCAAAAATACTGTCCCCACCACCATGAATGTCGCATGCCTCCCAAAGCTGGGGGTGGGAGCATGGCAAGTTCCCACAGGCAGTGGCGGCGGTGGTGGCAGCGGGGTTGTGGTGACAGCAAGCAGCAAGCTCCCACAGGCATCTGCAATGGTGGCGGAGGCGGGGGCGGGCCAAGCGGTGTCCGTTGCAGAGAGAGGGAGGGAAGGGAGTGCCAAGTGGTGAAAAATAGAGGATATCCAGTTTCATATCAATAGAGGACAGAGGACCAGAAAACCAGACTGTCCTCTATGAAACCGGATGAATGGCCACCCTAGTCAGATGTGGACAGTGGCCCTGAGCCAGCTGCAAGAAGAGGGTGAGGAGGCAGCCAACCAGATCCAGCCCTGTGGGGGTGAGGGGCCACAACTCAGCCAAATGGGGAAAAGCAGTGGAGAAAAGGGGCACAGCCCAGCCCTGACCTGGCTGTGCTGGGGGAGGGAGAGTTGCAATTTGGCAGTGAGGGAGGGTGGCCACTGCTCTCCTGTTGCCAAATTTCCCAGTCCATGGGGAGCCCTGTGGGACAGATGTGATGGCTCTGCAGACCACATTTGACCCTTGGGGTGGAGGCTGAACACTCCTGTCTTAGGGGAATAGCTTTTATATAGCTTGTACATGTGAGTGTTTGCAGGGACTGATTTTCCTCTTTGACAGATATTAAAAGGTATAAGACCTTCAGTTAAAATGGAATTACTCAAAGTATCAACATGTATAAAGAATAAAATGTACAAATATAAGCCTATATTGTTGGTATAAATCTGCACAGAAACTAATAGATTAGGTATTGCATATTATATTACAAAATAATTTAAGTTGTATTTTCTATCAGTACTAAATAATCTAAACATTCAAATGTATTATGTAAAATAGAGAATTCTTCATTAAAATCAACTCTCTACTTAGTGCATATATATATAAAACAAAACAAAACAAAACAACACTAGAAACAAATCAATAATTTTAAGATGCTTTTAATACAGTCAAGAAATTAAAGAAGCATTTGCAATCTTAACCAAATCTAAATTTTGGAACATTTACATTCTAGTGATTTTTAAGAATTGTACAAATAGTAAAGAGTAATTTTTGTGGGGAAATTCATTTTGTCCATATACTCTGTGTTCCCACAGCAGTGATTCTAGGTCAGGAATCAAAAATTCTGAAAGAAAAAAAAATGCAAAACATTAGTTGTTGATATACTTCTATTATGCCATGCTAAATGTCTATAATGTAACAGCTTTAAAAAAAACACTAAAAAAACATCATTTCACAACAGGGGCAAAGAAAATGTAGTATGTACTTTCCCAAGATTTTTTCCTCATGAGCTGGATCATTTGGGGTTCAGTCCTCAAATCCTTAATTTCAGTGTGAATTCTGCCTGTGTACAGAAGTCTTTTAATGATTTCTGGATCAAACTTGTAAAGATCACAATTTTTCTAACATCTTTACCAAATTGACTTTCCGATCCAACATTAAGCTATACGCTTCCTGGTTCACACGCTAGAAATGTATTTATTACTAGTGATAAACTAGAAATTTTTATGTGCCAACTTTTTAACTGCTTGAAATGCCTTTGGCTTACCGTATTTTCACGCATATAGCCCATCCACAGATATAAGCCGCATCTACATATAACCCGCAGAAAATTTTATTTTTGTAAATTAGTCCGTGTATACGCCGCACCCATGTATTCCCCATGGCGGCGTATACACGGGGAAGCGGCGTAGCCTGGCCTGCCCCAGCCCCCGCGGCAGCAGTGGTGCAGCCTGGGCCCAGCGGGGAGGCGGTGCAGCCCGCCCCGGCCCCAGCCTGGCCCCCACGGCAGCAGCGGCAGTGCAGCCCTGGCCCAGCAGGGAGGTGGCACAGCCTGCCCTGGCCCCAGCCCCCGTGGCAGCAGCGGCACAACCCAGCCTGCCCCGGCCCCCGCAGCAGCCCCCTTTCGAAAAAAAGTCTGTCCATAGCCCGCACCCTCGTATAGCCCGCACCCATCTGTTTTTTTTGTAAAATCGCATATACCCAGTGGGGGTATATGCGTGAAAATACGGTAATTCTTACAGGTGCTGAGCATCTGCAGCACCCATTGCCTTCAAGTTGATGGGCAGGTACCAACAGCTCTGACCCTGATCCCAAAACAGGTTATAGATATCTCAAGTTGGCTATTCAAAAATCTCAGCGTCCCAAATTAATGGATACTTTTTCAAATATGTATCTTGGTTTCAGTATAAAAAGGAACAGGATTTGAATATAGGTCTTCATTAAAAATATGAAATATATACCTTTTTAGCGGAAACCTGCTGATCTCCTTCCATTGCGTGGCTAGAAAATAACAATATCTGATAAGAAATTAACACTATAAAACAGGCTGGTGTTTAAGTAATGCCCCAGATAATCCAATACCTACTGCATTTTAGATTCCTTGATTTGTCCCATATATTTTACCAGATAACTGCTCAGTTAAAATTAAGATATCTTTGTTAAAGTATTGGACAATGTCTGTCCATTTCTGAAAATCAACTATGCAGCAAAATTACTACTGATAAGTATTACAGGCTGCATTGTGCCAAGTCCTGCATACATCATCAAGGGGAAGAAGATGAAGGCATCTTTTCTACAAAGACTAAACATGCCTCTCAAGGTGTTGTTGGCTTTGACCCTTTAAAACCCTGAATAGCTCAACTTTTATACATCAGGGAGCACACCCAACCTTTGAGCTCATGTATTAGAAAACACTCAGGTCCTAGGACTTGAGTAGAAAATCCACAATTAATTGAAAGGGTCTAGCACAGGGATGGACAATTATTTGGGCCCAAGGGCCACTTAGGGAGTTTTGGTGAGCTGTCGCAGGCCAGGTTACCCACTTCCACCCCCAGCCATATAGTTTACCAAAACTCCCTAAGGGGCTCTGCTCCATGTTCTGCTGGGCAGCTGGGACAGGGCCATGGGCAAGCAGGAGGCAGAGTCTGGGAACGGGCCCAGGAGGTAGGGCTGGGATCATGGGGCCATGACAGGGTGGGATCAGAGCCCAGGGCAGAGCCATGGTCTGCTCCCGGCACGCCCCTGCAATGGGTACCAGTTCCACAGGCAGAGGCATGTAGGGAGCGAATCACTACTCTGCTCTGGACTTAGGCCCTGCACTTTCACAGCCCTGTGATCCCAGGGTCTCCATGGAGACCAGCTAGGACCCCTGTGGGCAGGGCACGCAGCCAGGGAGATGGGATAGGGCCATAGGCAGGTAAGCAGGGAGCAGTGTCTGGGAGTGGAACCAGGTCTGAAATCTTTAGGTGGTAACAGTGCAGGGCTGGGACACAAGGCAAAGCCATGATCCACTCCCTGCGTGGCTTTGCCTGCAGAAACAGCACCTGTCACAGGGATGTGCAGGCTGCAGATTGTGGCTGTGCTCCAGGCCCTGGCCTTGCATTGTTACCCATGATCCTGGCCCCTTCTGCCTGAACTGTTCCCGGACACTGCTCCCTGCCTGCCTGTGGCCCCATCCCATCCACCCAGCCATGCACCCTGCCTGTGTGGGTCCCACCCCCAGTGGTGGGTATGGGACAGACAGGCTGGAGATGGGGCTGGTGGTGGCGGTAGCTGGAAGGAGCTGCCATTGCCAGGGCTGCCAGGAAGTGAGTCTGGCCGCGCTGCCCCAGCCCTGCTGCATGCCCAGGTGCGGCAGGACTGGCAGTATGCGCCATGGCCCAGACTGCCCCCTGTGTCTGGACCAGGTACAGCCAAGGGACCTGCTGCAGGCTGGATAAAATCCCTTGGCAGGTCAGATCCAGCCTGTGGGCCATATTTTGCTCACCCCTGGTCTGGCAGTAAGGCATTATCATGAGACACTGTTGGCTTGGAAGTCAAATCACTACCTTGTCCTTTAGAGTTTCAATTTAGTGGCTTTAAGACACTGCACAAGATTCATCTGTTTTCTCATGGGTTTTTTTTTGGATATTAAGGACAGGAGCTTATGGACTGGCATGGAGTTTGATCAAAGGTTCAAGAGGGTAGAATTGAAGGTATGTTGACTGGAATTATGTGTATATGATGTCTAAAATTAATTGCAATGCCAAACATTACTTTGTAGAGTATTCGATTTGTTTATAAGAGTTCAAATGTACTGTTTAAAAAATGAACTGTACTGTTTAAAGTAGTATAAACTACATTATCTACAAAGAGATTAAAGGATTTAGGGACCATCCAAAAATTGGAGAGAAGAGGAAGCAGGGAAGGAAAAAGAACATAAAAAAGGAGGTAAGAAAGAATGGGAAGCACAAATGAAGAAAAAGAAACATGGAGGAAAATTAGAGAGGAACAGACTGAAAAGGGAAAATAAAGAATGGAAGCCAGAGTACCAACATCCATGCTGAATAGAAAACTTTTGAGAAATTCTAGGTTTGATTCTTCCTCTCCAAAACTCTATTATTGCTCTGAATTTAGCCTATTAAGATAATGCTCAAACTTGAAGTTTCATGCATGAGAAACAAATATCCAAAATATGCACCCCCTCTGCCAGAGAGTTTTCTATTTAACTAGAAAGAAAATGTTAAGAAGTTGACAAAAACTAGGAAAGTCAATATTAAAATGTTACATCTAATTATCTTTAGCTTAATCCTTTGTGCTAAAAAAGAACAATAAAAACTCAATAGCATGAGGTATGGATGGAGAACGGGCATTCCGATGAGATTGTTTTTACAACCACTTTACAGAAGTGTGATTAACAAAACAAAGTGTGACAAAAGTAGAAAAATCAAGTGTAGAGTGAGGCTGGTGAATATATAAATTACTAGAACAAAGCATATCACTGCATTTATTATGTATAATATGGAAATGCAATTTTGAACAAAGTGTGTAAGATAGACAAGCATAATTTATGTCCGTCTATCATGGGTTCTAAATCCTACTCAGTTCAAGGACTTTATATCTGATAATCAATAGCTTATTAAGAAATAGCATGGTATTACATCTATTCAGAATAAACAATAACATTGCATGAAAAAATATTTTACTGTATTATTGGTAGGAAATTTTGCGATGATTTCTTTTTTCATTTGGTAAATCAAATCTTTTAGTTGTTTTCTTGAGGGCAATTTTCCCATGTCAAGATACTGACACTGACTCCAGGTTAAATATTTACAAACATTGCTAGCTATATTTGAGAAGTCCTCAGTACACACTCTGCCTATTATTTTGTTCAATATTTATACTGCAGTAGCACCTAGCAATTCCAATATGCAGGGTTTGAATTACACTTTGACTCTTGAGGGGGCCTGCAAAAAAAAAAAAGGGCTGCCCATCATGACGCCCTAATAAAATCGGAGACCCCCTTCAGGTTATGATTTTCAGATATTACAGGGGGGATTTTGTCTCTTATGTGGGGCTTAACTCCTTTAGCTCCCCCATAATTCAAATCATGTCAATACAACTGTTGCACTAATCACTTTACAAACACAGGTTCTCTGCCTGGTAGATTTCACTTATTGAGTTCAATGGAAATTGAAAGTGTTAAGCATTTCTGAAGATGATAGGTGGATAGGAATGCTGATAGAATCTCAGCTATAATAAGTCCTTGCTCCTGAAACACATTCCATTAGCATATACTCACTAATACCAAGTACAGTACTTTTTGCAATGTAATAAAGCTGCGTTTGAAAATTAAAAAAACAAACAGTCATACCCTGAAAATAAAGTAGCCTCTACTCTGAATCGCTCCAGGCCCTTGATATTCCTCCTGGAAAGAAGAATATATTTCAAATTACACATACTTGAATAGCTGAATTAAAAAATAAAACTGAAATATAAGTAATATCCAGAACTCATAAAGAAAATAAAAAAAATTCACACTACTTTGTGTTAATTTCATTTCTGTATTAAGGAAGAAAGGGGAGGTTTTCTAGCAATTGGTCTTCTCTATTACATATAGAAACCTAGTGACTCATTATATAACACCACTGGATCCCTTACTAGGCATGGTTTATGTCTTATTTTTCTCTTAACACAGGGGAACTCATTTTCAGGAATAAATTCTGAAGGCTAAATAACTTGGTCACAAGAAATAAATAAATGAAGGACAAATTCTGTTTCTACTTTTGACTCAGTCGTAGTTGCTTTAGAAATATACCAAGATGGATGAGCAGAATTTGACCTTGACATTCCAAGTTGCATCTCTCATATTTGTAACTGTACCAGGAAACATCCTGAGAATTTTTGTATGATGGAGCTTCTATCTCTATTCATTGTAGAGGGACAAAAGGAGGTAGAATTTGTAAACTTACAAAAGGAAGCACTTGGATTCTGGCACAGAAAGTTGGAATATTGGACAAAGCAATATGTAAGAGTATAATGATGCTATTTATATAGTCCAAAATTATTCCAAAGCCTAGTAAGAATACAATTCCATCCAGTACAATGGCTCTCAAACTATTCCAAACTGTGACTCCATATGTCATCAACATTTTGGGGACTATCTGCTTCATTTAGCTATAAGAAAAAGGAAGATGGTCATAACTCCATTGAACTTGTTCACACAACATTGAGAATCTACAATCTAATTAACCACACAGTAAGAAGGAGCTGTGTGTAATGTAAAAGGTCCAGTCCTGAAAACTTTCCATGCATGGAACTACCAACAACTTCACAAAGAGTTCCATTCACAGATAACCTGTAGAACTGAATCCAGTATTTTTACTGTCTTTGTTGAAAACAAATATTTGATTAAAGGGTACCTGCTGGAGACCATAATCAAATCACTTTAATGACAAGATAGTTTAAACGTCATGCTTCCTATAACAACCTCAGATTTAGATTTATCTATTTATCATGAACTCTTTCACAGTTATTGGTATTTCATGATCAACAACTGTTCCTACATCAATGTATCACGTAGATTATAATCACAAAATTCTCTGGTACAAAAGCATTTGTTATACCCTATTACTGTTTGAAGTGTATGATAGCAAGGTACACCCAAACATTTCCTATCATAGGACTCCCTAGATCCCAGGAAGCTCACAAAAGGTGATAAGGCTTCAAATTCACATAATTCTTGAGTCTTATACAGCATGTTAGGACCTTGTTCTGAGTTTACAGGAGATATTATTTGGCTACTGGCTTTGATTTATAGAGACTGTCTGTTTCATGTTCCCTCTTTCATATGCCTCTTTCTAGAATTAACTATATTTGACACATCATCTGTATTAGTCTACTTAGCTTACTTAGTCCATTTAAAAAGGCTAAGAAAAGAGTGTGTAAAGAAGGTTCTCTAGATGGCCAATATCTGTCATTATATATTATTTGCTGATGTCCTGTAGGAACACACACATTATAATGTAATCAAAGGGGAAAAAAATTATCAAACAAGGGAAAAGTGTAAAATAAATACATAGAAATGCAATAAATATCCATGTCAAAACAAGGAAACAAAGAAACATAATATAAAATGAATTAAGAGAACAATTGACATGAAAAAGTTTATTTTATAGAATTAACATCTAACATGCTCAAATCCTCTGTTGATAATCTGACACTTCCTTTGAGGAGGAATTAACAGTTACACTACTCAAATTCATATTAAGTATATGACATTAAGAGAACACTGAGTCAAAGTCTTTCTGCATCTGCACAAAACTCCAAAGCTTTCAGGGGCTGGAGCAATTCAAACAACTTGCCTATCTTACCCATCTCCAGCTGCTCTAAAAAATCTCCCACTGGATCCCTTTCATCTGTCTGCCTTGTAGGTGGATGTCCTTGAAATATTTCCTTTTTAAAAATCAGAATAGTCTTGCAGATCCCATCTTTGGCCTATATTCTCCCAAACCAAATGTGACCCAAAAAGGAAGTAAATCCATAGTAAAGTTGATGCTGGGCTAAGCAGAGGGTAGGTTGTGTACAGGAGGTTGCTTTCCTCCTCTACACAACCATCTTTCCCCTCTTTGTGCATGATCAAGGCCAGAGGCAGAAGGTGTATATGCAGCAGACAGTATCCCCTTTCGTTCTCCTAGTTTCCTGTTGCCTAGGCAAACGTCCAAACCACTAGGTTATTGGGTGACTAGGCAAGTGCCCAAATAGATTGTACCTCTACTGAGCACACTCAGTAGGTGCACATGGGCTTGTGAAAAAGAGCTGAACTGCGAACTGTGAATAAAAGTATGTGCAGATATTACACTTAGATCGACCAAACTAGGGTTAGGTCAATCTAAGTGCTGAACCATACATACAGTTGGAGAGTTCAGATCAGACAAAAAATGGCCAACCCAACCTTAGTTCACCTGAGAAGCTGCGCTATATATATTGGATTAACCCATGCTCAAAGTAACTGAACATGTGTGTACATTCAAAGATCAGCCCTGGTACTAGGAAAGCCCAGCCACTCACCCCCAGCCCTGGGGCTGTGCTTTTCCTTCCCTGTCACCACCTTGACTATGCTATATTTAGCCCTCCATCCCCCCCACCCATGGATGGACAGCCCCCTCCCCCAACCAGCTCCCCCTGTGGACCTACCAACCCCCTTCCCACCCCACCCCCACAAAGACCTGCCAGATCCTTCCCCCTCATATCACCAGTCCACCCCTGGATCTGCCAAACCCCACTGTGGACCCACTAGACCCCTCAACCCCACCCATACCTCCCTCCACCCCAACTTATTTAGAGCACATTGTCAGAATAGTTCTCAGCACCAGCAAAAATGTGCACAAGTGGAGACCTAATCTGCAATCATGCAGCTTTAAGTAAGCCATGCAATTGTGGATCCGGTTCCAGGGATGTGTGCACATGCCTTAAGTGCCAAAAACTGCAGCTACATGGCACACAAATGAAATAGGAGAGTCAGGGAATGTTTGCATAAGTAATAATATGTTAGATGATGGATTGTTCAGTCAAGCTTTTTCTTAATTATTTGATCAACTACTTACTAAAGAAAGGAGATCAATTTAGAGAGGTCTTACCTGTTACAGAAAAAAATATTAAAATACTAATTCTATAAGCTGAGGTTGTAAGAACAGTATGGAAGATCTTCAATGAAATATTACTACATTAACACACCTACAACGGAAGCAAAAAAGGGAAAAAATGAAAGCATCTAAAAGAGATTCTTGTGGAAAAAAGGCTGAACTTTAAACGACAGGTAATTTCTCAAATATCTTTGGTATTTATGCTTCCTGAAAGAGTAATGTATACGTTTAACAAGATAATTAATGTTCACAGCAAGAAACCAAGGGAATGGTTTTACACAAGATACATGTTTCCATGTAGTGCTATAATAGAGATTTGTTTTTCTGCCATGCCCTGCATTCTTGGCATCCAGAAGAATGGAGGTTTTTTTCACATTCCCATCACTGCTATCAGAATTTATACTATAAAGTGCACTCCTCAGCCATATTTCCATCATCCTTAGGTAATCAGGTTTGTCTCAATGCTGAAAATTTGCAATGCTTAACCAAGTGAACTGTACATATAGCTTCAAACTTTACAATGCAAAACTTTAATTAACAAAATTCTGTGGAAAAATTATTACAGATTCTAATGTTAAAGGCCAAATTCTGACACCTTTTTCATGCAGAGTAGTCCCTTATTGTGTCACAAATTCCACTGAATTCATTTTTGGAAAATGATAGAAGAATCTTTTTATTTGTCTGTTAATCAAGTGAAACTCCCATTGAAATCAATGAGAAGTTTATTTGAATAAAACTTAAGTACAACCTCTGTAATTTGGCTCATATTCCTTAACTGTATTGTACTATATTCATGATCACAAGGGCTAACCCTGTTCCCTGTTGCTGGCTGAGTAAGGTATATCCAGATGTCCAGTGCCACTAAGCATATATGCATGCCATGATATTTTTGTCAAATTTAATTTATTAAATCAATGTAGCAAATTTTTCAGGTTGTGTGTTTTTGCCTATGGGAATGCTTTACTTTTAAAGTAATGTTTTTAAGTGGCACTACCTTGTTATGGATCTGGGGAAGGGTCATAAAATTCTCTGGGGAGGGTAAGGTCTCTGTTTGCACCTGGGATGAAAAAGAAAGAAAACATTTTGTTCAGTTTTTACAGTTTGTGTAACTGCCTTCGAACTGCCAATGTAATCATGTTGCCACATAGTCCTTTCACAGAGAGTGATAAAATAAGCCAACACAAGTAAAGCAGTAGATATGTGTTACTCCCCTACCTTCCCTTCAGGAAGGCTACTTATTGTATAGCATAAGTAACTAGTGCAGAGAGGGGCAAGTATATCAAATAAAGATAATCTCATTCTCAGTTTCAGACATCTTTGTATGTTTTAGTCTCGCTTGTCCATCAAGTCCATTGTTAAGATGCTCAAGCACTTAACTGCTTATACCCATAACTACAGATAAGAATATAAAACAAAATTAAATGCATAACCTAATTATAGGGGTATAGGTTGTAGCTGTGTTGGTCTAAGGACACAGGCAGACAAGGCTCTTTATCTGAATTCTTTTATGAGACCAACTCAAATAGTTAGACAAAATCTTCTTTGCAAGCTTTTGGGTATAAATACCCTTTGTCAGGTCAATTATAACCTACTTATAATCAATCCCACACCAGAACTGGAACAAAGTTAAACCAGAATAATTAAAATAAGATTGCTTACCAATGGAAAGTGGAATCTCCCACAGGGAAAAGACTGGAAAAAACACCTAAAACAAGTGAATCTTCAGGCAAGACTACCTTGTATCACAAGGATAAATTGTCCTTTAAAGGCACAGTGAAGGGCTCTGTGGTGTGGAGGTCTATTGTCTCAAGCAGGACTGTTCAATGACTGACAGGACAGTTCACTAACTGCTAGGTCTTGTCAACACTAGAAAAAATAGTAACTATCTTATAGCCCTTGACCCGCAGGGTGCAGCTGAACAAGTGATAGTAGTGCAGCTAAAGCAGATAGGGGTCAAACATTCTTGATATCAAGTCACAAAAACTGCTTGTTGTAGGTTGCCCTTTTGCACATCACCGTCTTTATTTCCTTGGGGCAAACTTGCCCCTTAGGACAAAACATAACTCATAAATCATCAAACAAAGACAGCAACAATAAAGGGTTAAGTCACACCAGGAAATCTTTTCCCAGATCTGGCTCAGTGTGGAGGCCTCTGCCTCGCAGCCTTCTCTGTCTCTCTTCTAGCTCCCCTCCCTGGGAGCCCTTAACTTCTTGTTACTCAGCCAGTTATCCTCATTAACTGCGTCAGTCTTCCTTACTGCCTGCAGTGGGGCTGCTGCCTTTGCTACTTGCAGCCTGCCCCCAAGAGGGAAACACCCTTCCAACCCTTATAATTTATGGTTGAGGAGGATTAGTAGGGCCCACTGATTCGGGCCCAGCTCTCTTGGCTCTGCCCAACCCCTCATGGCATCCCTGGTCCAGGGTGAGGCTCCTCTCAGTTCTTCCTAGCCCCCCTGGCATCCCTGACTAGGGCAAGGCTGCACTCAGCACTGCACCCCACCCCCAACAAGCATCTCTGGCCCAGGCAAAGCAGTTTCTTGCCTCTCAAATATTTGGGCTTCTGCCTCATGTCTTATGCCCTCTAAACATCATGTGCCATTTGGGCACTTAACAGCCCATTTGTTTTCTCATCAACACCACTGTCTTGGCTTACCAGCCTTCAATTCCCATGACCTCAGGGTTAATGATTCCCATGAGCTCCTCTTTATCTAGCTCAGAACCAGCTTATACCCATTACAGCCAGTGCAGTCTTCCTTCTCCCCCCATTAATTGGTCCCCATTCTTGTGTCTGTCCTCTCCTAGAGGACAGTGATGGGTTTCCCAGCAGTTCCATGCCTTGCCCCAAAAGTTCCTTAGGTCTCAGGATGGTTGTGGTACCATATCGGTCTCTGTTTGGCAGTCTTTGTAAGGAGCTGTCTCTCTATCCATTTTTTCATACATGGCTCTGCCACTTAATATCTGTCCATTAAGCATTGCTATTGCTCGAGTGGCTTCTGTGAGATGTTCAATGTTAACTGTTCCCATGCCTCTGCTTTTACTCTTCTTGTTCTTCCATATCTCAGTGTACCTTACACTACCTGCCCTTTGGGACATTTGCTTTTGTCTCCTTTGGCCTATCCTGAAACACAGATCGCTTCCCAACGTAGTGGACCTGAGCCTGTCAGCCCTCCAATTTGGCTTACCACTGAGCATGATATTCAGATCTTTCCTCACAGCTGTTGTTGCAAGTGCTGTCACCATCTTCTCATCTGGCCTCAGTCCCTGTCCTGGTAGCATCTAAGGCAGGTCATTCTCCGTGCTCACCTTCTTCTCTTGGTTGTCCTCAGGGATTTCTCCATCCTCGCCTCTGACTTTCATTTGCTGGTGGGTGTTCTGTCTGCCCTCTCCAGCAGAAATTCCTACTCTGGCCTACTGGTTCCCATAGTGACCTGCAGGACCTCTTCTGTGCCCTGCAATTTCCCCACCCCTGTGTGTGCCCAGCAAGGTTTGGTCCCTTCTCTCTTTTTCTGTTTAGGGTAATTTCCCCTCAAACAGTCTCTCAGCCCCCATCCTGGGAGCACTATCCCTCCTCTCACTCTTAGGGAAAGTCCTCCCTAGAGTGGAGATGCATTGGCTTTAGTCCATGGGTAATGACACACCCATTGCCTATAAACCCCACCATTAAAGGCCACCACCCCATGCCTTTTTGAATGGCATATCTGGAATCCATGGGTTTGGGCTGTCCACTTTCTGGTGGGCTCCACTTCTCCCTTGGTATGAGTCCTGGCTCTTTAATGTGGGTTTGGACTCTCTTTGTTCTCAGGCCAATTGACCTATTTCTCCCTTCAGGACCTTTGTTGTCTTCCTTGGGGTTTCTTCCCCTGTCCCAACCTCACAACCCCCATTCTGGGTGTCTCAGTCTCTTATCCATTCATAGCTGTGGTGGACACCATCATGGTCCCCTCTTCTTCTGGCTGCCCTTCTCGTTGAGGCTGCACCAGAGTTAGGGCTTCTACAATACCGGTGTCATCTTTGGTTGCCTCCAGGAGCACTACTCCTGTAGCTAGACCCAGTTTGTGGGTAACTAGCCCAAACCTTCTAGGTTTCTTGCGACCTTTTCCCATAAGTGTGGTGTAGCAAATAAACTTTCTTTTCCATATCTGTCCACCTGCTTTGACAACTCAAGTGTCTCCTCTCAAGAGTCCTCATGCTGGGTGGTAAGTTTTGCCAGGTCCATAACTCAGTCCTTCTATTTTTTGGTTGACTCGAGCATGTTGCTCCTACAACTTCAGATTGAGGCATTCCATTTCTTGCCTGGTCTCCCCTTCAACTGGTCAATCTCTGCACCACACCCCGAAGGTCTAGGTCCAATTGCCTGTTCAACTCCTGAACCTCTTTGGTCTGCTGGGGTTCTGTTTTCACTACCTCTAGCTGTGCCCGGGATTCAGCGAAGAGTTAACTCAATGCCTCTACTTCCTTCAGGTAGCTCTGACATTCAGGACTGGTCATCTCCAAGTGCGCCTTTAGCTGTGCTTTCAAAGATTGTACTTAGACTTGGGACCTTTGAAACTCCTCTTCAGATACTGTTAGTTTTGCTCTCCACACCTGCTCCCCCTTTTCCAAGCTCTCCTGCAGTGCCTGAAGGATGCCTTCTGCCTCAGACAGAGTGGCTCAGTATTGCTAACGCTGTGCTTGTAAAAGGCTCTGAGCTTCTTTTGCCTGTTGTAATCTAAGTGCTGAATCAAGAGTCCAGTCTTCACCTGCTGCTTCACCACTTCCAGAACCTTGTCCTGAAATTCTCATGGCCCCTCATTGTAGGTCTGCTGGGAGGGGACAGTGACCTCGGAAAAACAGGAAGCAATGTCTGCTTCCCTGTGCTGCTCTGTCCCTTCCCTTGCTCTGTCTGCAGCACACAGCTGTTCCTGCAATGCTCTCTCAACTATAGCTGACACTTTTATTGCTTGCCTATTCCTCTCTCACAGATCCTCACTTTCAGGTTTCAGTTGTTCTGCCATCTCCTTTAGTTCCCTGGCTTCATTTTCCTGCAAGGAGGCTAGGTCTGCTTTTTCCTGGAACCTTGACCATAGCTGGCTCACTTCAGCTCGGTTAGTGGCCTGACAACCTTTATTTGTTCCTGCTTCCCCTGCCTGGCCTGCTTCCCTGAGGATTTCCCTGGATGTGAATTTCTTTGTGAGTTGTGTTTTCTCAGCAGTGGCTTCCAGCAGCTTCATCTCTAGCGCACTGAGCTTTTCTTCATGCTCTTCCTGGGAATTCAGCCGTCTCTCCAGGGCTTCTGTTGTCCCTTTCTGCAGGCACTGCTGCTGTTCCCTTTTTAACTGCTGCAGCTGCTCCCTCTGGAACTGCTGCTGTTGCAGCACCTCCAGCCCCTTCAGCAGGGCTCCTGTCTCCATGCTGCAGTTCGCTTTAAGCTGCTGTGTTCTCTACCATGTGCAGTGGGTTGTCTGTTTGCACAGCACAGTCTTTATTTCCATGGGGCAAACTTGCCCCTCAGGACACAACGTAACTCATAAATCATCAAACAAAGACAGCAACTGAAGTTGCAAAGGCACCCTGCAGTCTTTTCCTGGACCTGTAGAGAGTGCTTTGGCTCCATGCTGCAGTTTTGCCTCATAGCCTTCTCTCTCTCCCTCTCTCTTCTCCAGCTCCTCTTCCTGGGTACCTCTTACTCAGCCAGTTATCCTCATCATCTGCTCCAGTCCTCCTAGACAAACATGCAATCTTTCCTTACCACCTGCAGCTGGGCTGCAGCTCCTGAGACATGCAGTCTGCTACACTGCTCTTAACAATATCTATACTAACTATTTCTGTGGGTGCTAACTGTTCCACTGTAAAAGCAGAAAGGCTATAGAACAGGGGTGGGCAAATGCGGCCTGTGGGCCAGATGCAACCCGCCAGGCCATTCTATCTGGCCTGCGAGGCCCCTAAGAAATTTAGAAAATTAATAGTTATCTGCCCCTGGCTGCCTGTCCTGCGACCCTCGATGGCTTGCCAAAACTCAGTAAGCAGCCCTTCACCCCAAATAATTGCCTGCCCCTGCTATAAAACAAGGGTAGGCAACCCACAGCACTGGTGCCAGAGCACGGCATGTGAAGGCATTCTGTTTGGCATGAGCACCTCAGGGTGGATGGCAGAGAAAGGGCCAGAGCTGTGCTGTCACAACAAGGATCGGGCCCATTGGCACTCCCCCACTATCCGCCCCCTGGCATGCCAACATCTTTCAAGTTGGGTTTAGGGTATTACTGTCTTTATTCAAGAAAGTACAATTTTTTCCATAAACAGCATCTGAAAACATTGCCTAAGATGTATTTATAAAAAGGAATGAGATGAGTCCTCTTGGTATTAAGTGCTTTCAAGATTAGAAATGGGTAACAAATATAATACAAAAATGTGTCCAATTGGACATCAATTTTACAACATGCACAAAAGTTTATACAAAGTCCAGTAATACGCAAGCCTTATAAAGGCCTGATTCTGCAAGGTGCTCCATCAGTTTCATTAAAAGTTGAGAGTAGAATCTTTTGGAATACTAAAAACCCTGTATCTACTTATTAATTTGAGATAATTTTAAAGCACTTTTATTGCTATTAGATTTTTTTAACAGCTTTTCAGTACGGTAAAACACCTTCCTTCAGTTCTGAAAACAAAATACCATATTTACTTAAATACAATACAAAGTCTTCCCCCACGATCAGCATGGGGAAAAAAGCCCCTCATCTTAAATTCACATACAAAAAAGCCTCATTAAACATATTATCTAACATTAAAGTACTACTAAAAACAGCATATGCTCAATAATGAAAGATAATTATTAATTCAGTTAAATGCAGCCAAACTTGAACAAGACTACAAAACCCATAGCCCACACTGGGTAAAAGTACTGATCAGAGTTTACCAAATAGATAGGTTAATCTACTAATCAGGATAGTTAATCTGAACAAGAAGTACAATAACACCCATTGTGTACAGTCCCCCTCAGTGCCAACTCCTTTTCAAGTCATGGTG